ATGGGTGGAGGCGACAAATGGGGGAGGGGAATGCAGGGCAGTTCTCATTTCTCTACATTGAGTCAGAGGACCATTCACACGGAGCAAGTGAGCAGGGTGACTCAGAGGACCTTCCTGTGACCACCGTCACCTCAAAGGAGACCCCAGCATGGCCATGGACAGGTAAAAGGTGCCCCCATCTCTTCCCCCTATTAGAACTCAGGGTTTGTCTCTTGATATGAATCTGCTCAGCACAGCTGCTTGCCGTTCCTCTCCATTTCTCCATCTGACTCAGTCCCCAACTCTCCCTCCCATCTCTTTTGCTCTCGCCCTCCAGCTGGGTCTCTTTCTTTCTCTCTCTGACTGTCCCTCACTTCATATTTCTCGCTATCTCTTTTGGTCATTCCCCCTCTCTGTCTAGCCTATTCTTGTTCAGCTTGCATGCTTTCTTGTGATTTCTCAATCCAGCTATCTAGCTATATCTTGCTATGCATTTCTATCTCTCGTTCTCTCTCTGGTGTTCATATACTTGCTCCTAGCTACAGATCATTCCACATTACAGTAGCTCTACTTGCATTGCAGTTACACTGTGACCAAGTGATCACCTAATCATTCGCATGCAATTGCATCTCATTCTCCCATGCAATGACCTGTACTGTGATTTGAACATTTGGGGAGTGTGTTTATATTAGAGAGTGTTCCCAACACCTAACCGCTTTCTTTAATGACTGAACATGGCTCAGATGGCATCTCCTCTAACTATGCAGTAGCTGTATGGGGTGCAAACACCCAGTAATTTGTACCTAGTTATACACTGTGAACCTGCTCAGTTGCTTTAACATCCTAGTACCTGCCCAGGGTTGACTTGTTGATACCCACCTCCCAAACAAGTTTTGAAGTCATTACTATAACAGCTTCAGAGGAAGCATCTGATGAAGTGGGTCTTTGCCCACGAAAGCTTATGCTCCTACACTTCAGTTAGTCTATAAGGTGCCATAGGACTCCTCGCCGCTTTAGAGGGTTAGCCAAGTTAGTCTGTAACAGGAAAAACTTAAAAAACAACAAATAGTCTAGTAGCAACCTTAAAGACTAACAAAACATGTAGATGGGATCATGAGCTTTCGTGGGCACAACCCACTTCTTCAGATGACTGGAGTGGGTTGTGCCCACGAAAGCTCATGATACCATCGACAAGTTTTGTTAGTCTTTAAGTTGCTACAAGCCTTGTAGCCAGTTTTTTGGGGTTTTTTTGTTTGTTTGTTTTTTAAGTTTTTACTATAGCAGAACTCTCAGTTGAGTCAAAACCAGAGACAGGACACAGCCTGAATTGGGATTAGCATTAGGGCAGATTGAAATGTTGGGTTTTTTTAATGACAGATTCTCACTCAAAAACTGGCTTTTTTCAATCAGAAATTTGCATGAAAATGGACCTGGTTTTCTATATTTTCCATTGTTTTCCTAATGGCATTGGGAAAAGCTAATTTGAGCATCGTTTTGCTTGTTTGGTTTATGGTTGTGCCTTTTCTCCCGATGCAATGCCCCTTTTCAGTGGCAAAATTGTTAAAATGAGGGGAAAGAGGCAGAAAAAATGAAAAACAACATTTGAAGATGAACATTTTCACAAAAAATTGTAAATACATGAAAATCTCTCCCTGTTTCAATTGCACAAAATGAAAATGCTTCAAAATGGTCACATCTATTGAGACTCCCCACACACATTTTTTCAACCAGCTGCAGCTAAGGTCTCAGTATTTGGTCCTAAATGCTGTATTGCTCTTTAGCCCGTGCCAGTGCAGTCTATTCTAGCACCCTGAGGTCAGTCATACTAAAGACAAGAGTAGAAGGGGCGCCCCCTTTTTGTTGCCTTTTCGAGGGAGATAGTGCCATACATCCCTTCCCCTCCCCCACTGCGGTAAGCCGCACTTGAAAGTGAGAGAGGACCTTTGGTCAGTAGGTATGTGCTTTGTGGACTGGAGCCAGAACCGCTTCTGTGGGTTGGTGGACAGGTTTCAAGGATGGACTGGAATTGAAATAAAGCAATACTATCCCATTGGGGGTCCTAAGCTCCCTCAATACATAAACAAGTGAAGAGGACCCGCTTGAGTAGCTCGGAGTCCTAAGCCACTGCTTAGTCTGGTTATGCCTAGCACTGGCTATGGATGTGGCTCTCCCAAGTGCACACCATGCAAGTGTGAATGAAAGCAAGGGTGATAAGGAAGGATGGATGGGATGAGAAGGAATGCTGTGGAGGAAGAAGGAAGAACTCCATTAGCTGGTAGTAGCAGTAGGCTCTTGACCCTTATAAGGACCATCCACAAGAAGAAGACATGACACCACTTAAATCAGAGTGTTACACACATCTGTCAGTTTGAGTTTATAAAGCAGACATTGGGGTGCTAGAGGATATGCATATAATGTTCTTTTTCTGTACAGTTTCGGTTGTGGGTTTGGAACAAAGGACATGTGTGTGTGTGAGAGAGAGAGAGAGAGAATGAGGGTTGCACATCTGTATCTCTGTGTGAATGTGCATGAGGGGAGCTCATGTGTGTAAAGTAGAAAGCTTTACATATGTGAAGGTGGGTGTGATGTGAGTATGTAAAATATGTGACTGAAGGCTAAAATTTGATGCGGTTACATAACTATTCAGTTACCCGCTATCTAACATCCTTAATTTGAGTATCAATATGCAGATGTGACAGAGCTGTCTGTGTCCATGACTGGGGGGCTGAAAACATGTGTGTGAATGTGTCTGAATGTGTGCACATATGTGTGTGGAAATGAAGACTGTGTAAAGTAGGTATGTGAATGAAGGTGTGTGACAGAGAGGCATGTGTGTAGTGAGTATCTGATTGTAGTTTCCATTTTAAATACTGAGATACCTTAACTAAATAGATACCTTGATAGGTGATAGAGCAATGTATGCGTGTCCCGGAATGTTGAAGAGATGTGTGCTTATCTTACACTTTCAGACCTCAGACTGAAACCAGAGAAACCTACCCAATGCAGAGAGCAATACATCAACTGAAACAAATTCCCCCTGCAACTTTTATTTCACTCTCCTTCCTAGCACAGACCCAAACCCTTTATCAACTGCCCTGCTCTGAAACCCTTTATATATTTATATGTGTGTGTTAATGAGGATAATCAAAATATATATGTGTGCGTGTGTGTGTTAATGAGGCTAACCAAGTCAGGGTGGAAGTGGCTCATTCACAGCATTTGGTGTGGAGGTATGACTATCAAGAAGGGAGATTGCCTTTTTAGAGCATTAACTAGTTAAAAGCCATATTCAGTCCTAAGTTGATTGTATTGAATTTGCAAATGAACACCAGTTCCCTTTGTAAGTATTGAATTTGCAAATGAACACCAGTTCAGCTGTTTCCCTTTGTATCTGGGTTTTAAAATTTGTTTGCAGAAGGTTGGCTACTTTTAAATCCATTACAGCAGGTGCAGGGAGGTTATGTGTTCCCCTGATGGTTTCTGTGTGTTACCGTTCCTGATGTCTGGTTTATGTCCATTTATCCTTTGGCATGGAGACTGTCTGGTTTGGCCAATATAAGCCACACCATCAGGGCTCATCCATGTGCACATCCACTAATGGGATCTATGCCATAAAGTGCTGGCAATGCCTCTCTGCCATGGATATTGGCCAAACTGGACAGTCTCTATGCCAAAATGGACTCCTGCCTCTGTAACTTTCACCCAATTCATCTGATGAAGTGGATTTTACCCATGAAAGCTTATGCCCAGATATATCTATGAGTCTCTAAGGTACCACAGGACTCCTTGTTGTTTTTGCAGATACAGACTAACACAGCTCCCCCTCTGAAACTTTCCATCATGCAGCAACCCTTCAGAGGGAAGAGGTGACAGGCCAGAATTATTTTTAACCCATTCATTTCTGTTTTGCATTGATGTGGAGGTGGCTGTGGAGGTTTTGCTTCAGTGAGCACAGCTGTTCGCAGCTTCTGCTGCACTCCTGCATTGAGGTGAACCTTGTTAGAAAATGGTCTATGACTGCTGCATTCCCCGGGCCAGAATAGGACCCTGTACAGTGTAATGGACCCATATGTGTGAATTTGTTTGACTTAGGGCTTGTATCCTATAAGTTTCCATCCAGAAATGCCCTTCCACCAGATGGAATGGAATCTTTTAGCTAGTGTGCCGTAATCTTTCCCCCTCCTCTATTCTGTCCACCCTGTGCAATTGATAATGTTTATCATTCTACCATGTCTGTCCCTTGGTAGCTTCTTCCATACAATTTGCCCTCCAGAGCTTTGTCCAGCCCTAGTTTTAAATCTCCTCACTGATGTTGCTGCCACCCCTTCCCTCGGAGATTCTGCCACAGTCTCACACTGTGAGGAGACATTCCTTAATTTCCCAGCCCCAAATACCCCATCTTCTGTTTCACCTCAAGACTCCACTCTTCAGGCTCCCAAACAGCCTCCTAGATTTTATGCTCTTCTGACAGTTTCCTACCCTCCCAGCTTAACTGCTATTTAACCAAACTCTGTAGATTAAACTCTTTTCCCTTTCCACTTGTACATTCCTCACACTGTGAGGAGACATTCCTTAATTTCCCAGCCCCAAATACCCCATCTTCTGTTTCACCTCAAGACTCCACTCTTCAGGCTCCCAAACAGCCTCCTAGATTTTATGCTCTTCTGACAGTTTCCTACCCTCCCAGCTTAACTGCTATTTAACCAAACTCTGTAGATTAAACTCTTTTCCCTTTCCACTTGTACATTCC